CAATAGATTTAAACGACACTATAGCCCAAATGGATCTCACAGATATACAGAACTTTTAATCCTACAGCTAAAGATTTTACATTCTTCTCAGCAGTACATGGAACCTTCTCTAGGATTGACCACATACTAGGCCATAAAGCAAGTCTCAGCAAATTCAAAAGAATTAGAATCATACCATGCAGCTTCTCAGACCATAAAGGAATGAAGTTGGAAATTAGCAACTCAGGAATCCCTAGAGCATACACAAACACATGGAGATTGAACAACATGCTCCTGAATGAACAATGGGTCATAGAAGAAATCAAAAGAGAAATCAAAAACTTTCTGGAAGTAAATGAGGATAACAGCACAACATACCAAAACTTATGGGACTGCAGCAAAAGCAGTGTTAAGAGGAAAGTTTATATCAATAGGTGCCTACATCAAGAAATTGGAAAGGCACCAAATAGATGAGCTTTCAACTCACCTCAAGGATCTAGAAAACCTACAGCAAACCAGACCCAAATCTAGTAGGAGAAGAGAAATAATTAAAATCAGAGAAGAAATCAACAGGATTGAATACCAAAAAAAAAAAAATTACAAAAAATCAGCCAAACGAGGAGCTGGTTTTTTGAAAAAGTAAACAAAATTGACACCCCATTGTCCCAACTAACTAAAAAAAGAAGAGAAAAGACCCAAATCAATAAAATCAGAGATGAAAAAGGAAACGTAACAACAGACACCACAGAAATAAAAAGAATCATCAGAAATTACTACAAGGACTTGTATGCCAGCAAACAGGGAAACCTATCAGAAATGGATAGATTCCTGACACATGCAACCTACCTAAATTGAACCAGGAAGACATCGAAAACCTAAACAGATCCATAACTGACACAGAAATTGAAACAGTAATAAAGGCCCTCCCAACAAAGAAAAGCCCAGGACCAGATGGATTCACTGCTGAATTCTACCAGACATTTAAAGAAGAACTGACTCTAATTCTTCTCAAACTATTCAGAATAATCGAAGAAGAGGGAATCCTCCCAAATTCTTTCTATGAAGCCAGCATCACATTAATTCCTAAGCTGGAAAAAGATGCAGCACTGAAAGAGAATTACAGACCAATATCCCTGATGAACATAGATGCAAAAATCCTCAATAAAATTCTGGCCAATAGAATGCAACAACACATCAGAAAGATCATCCACCCAGACCAAGAGGGATTTATCCCTGGTATGCAGGGATGGTTTAATGTGCGCAAGACAATCAATGTGATACACCACATTAACAGACTGCAGAAGAAAAACCATATGATTATCTCAATAGATGCCGAGAAAGCATTTGATAAAATACAACATCCGTTCATGATGAAAACTCTAGGCAAACTGGGTTTGGAAGGAACATTCCTCAATACAATCAAAGCAATCTATGAAAAAACCCACAGCCAACATCCTATTGAATGGGGAAAAGCTGGAAGAATTTCCACTGAGATCTGGTACCAGACAGGGATGCCCACTCTCACCACTGCTATTCAATATAGTTCTGGAAGTTCTAGCCAGAGCCATTAGGCAAGAAAAAGAAATTAAAGGGATACAAATTGGGAAGGAAGAACTCAAACTATCCCTCTTTGCAGATGATATGATTCTTTATTTAGGGGACCCAAAGAACTCTACTAAGAGACTATTGGAACTCATAGAAGAGTTTGGCAAAGTAGCAGGGTATAAAATCAATGCACAAAAATCAACAGCCTTTGTATACACAGACAATGCCATGGCTGAGGAAGAACTTCTAAGATCAATCCCATTCACAATAGCTACAAAAACAATCAAATACCTTGCAATAAACTTAACCAAGGATGTTCAAGATCTCTACGATGAGAATTACAAAACATTAAAGAAAGAAATAGAAGAGGATACCAAGAAATGGAAAAATCTTCCATGCTCATGGATTGGAAGAATCAATATCATCAAAATGTCCATTCTCCCAATAGCAATTTATAGATTCAATGCAATCCCAATCAAGATACTAAAGACCTTCTTCTCAGATCTGGAAAAAATGATGCTGAAATTTATATGGAGGAACAAGAGACCTTGAATAGCTAAAGCAAAAACAAAGCCGGAGGCATCACAATACCAGATTTCAGGACATACTACAGGGTAGTTGTAATCAAAACAGCATGGTACTGGTACAGAAACAGATGGATAGACCAATGGAACAGAATTGAAACACCAGAAATGAATCCAAACATCTACAGCCAACTTATATTTGATCAAGGATCTAAAACTAATTCCTGGAGCAAGGACAGTCTATTCAATAAATGGTGCTGGGAAAACTGGATTTCCATGTGCAGAAGCATGAAGCAAGACCCATACCTTACACCTTACACAAAAATCCACTCAACATGGATTAAAGCCCTAAATCTACGACCTGACACCATCAAGTTATTAGAGAACATTGGAGAAACCCTTCAAGATATTGGCACAGGCAAAGAATTTCTGGAAAAGACCCGGGTGGCACAGGCAGTCAAAGCCAAAATCAACTATTGGGATTGCATCAAATTGAGAAGTTTCTGTACTGCAAAAGAAACAGTCAGGAGAGTGAAGAGACAACCGACAGAATGGGAAAAAATATTTGCAAACTATGCAACAGATAAAGGGTTAATAACCAGAATCTACAAAGAGATCAAGAAACTCCACAAAACAAAACCAACAACCCACTTAAGAGATGGGCCAAGGACCTCAATAGACATTTTTCAAAAGAGGAAATCCAAATGGCCAACAGGCATATGAAAAAATGTTCAAGGTCACTAGCAATCAGGGAAATACAAATCAAAACCACAATGAGGTTTCACCTCACCCCGGTTAGAATGGCTCACATACAGAAATCTACCAACAACAGATGCTGGTGAGGATGTGGGGAAAAAGGGATACTAACCCACTGTTGGTGGGAATGCAAACTGGTCAAGCCACTATGGAAGTCAGTCTGGAGATTCCTCAGAAACATGAATATAGCAGTAACGTTCGACCCAGCCATCCCATTCCTTGGAATTTACCTAAAGGAATTTAAATTGGCAAACAAAAAAGCAGTCTGCACCCTAATGTTTATTGCAGCACAATTCACAATAGCCAAGATCTGGAACCAATCTAAATGCCCATCAACGGTAACTGGATAGAGAAATTATGGGATATGTACTCTTTAGAATACTATACCGCAGTAAGAAACAACGAAATCCAGTCATTTGCAACAAAATGGAGGAATCTGGAACACATCATGCTGAGTGAAATAAGCCAGTCCCAAAGGGACAAATACCATATGGTCTCCCTGATCAGTGACAACTGACTGAACACAAAAAAGGAAACCTGTTGAAGTGAAATGGTCACTATGAGAAATGGTGACTTGATCAGCATAGCCCTGACTGTTAATGAACAACTTAATACATTATCCCTCTTAGTAGTATTTTTTTGTCTGTTCTACTTAATATGACGGGTTTAATTCTGTAATTAATACACAGTTATTCTTAAGTGTTGAAATTTAACTGAAATGTGATCCCTGTTAAACATAAGAGTGGGAATAAGAGAGGGAAGAGATGTATAATTTGGGACATGCTCAAGCTGACTTGCCCCAAATGGTAGAGCTAGAAACATACCAGGGGACTCCAATTTAATCCTATCAAGGTGGCATGTACCAATGCCATCTCACTATTCCAAGTGATCAATTTTAGTTCACAATTGATCATAATGAAAGTTCTAAGAGTCAAAGGGAGCACATAAAGAAGTCTATTACCTGATAATACTAACTGATAGAATAAATAAAGGGGAGAGTGAGCCAACATGGGAAGCGAGATACTCAGCGGACTCATAGAATGGCGGATGTCCTAAACAGCACTCTGGCCTCAGAATCAGCCCTAAAGGCATTGCAATCTGGCTGAAAAGCCCATGAGAGTATTTCAGGCATGGAAAGCCAAGACACTCTGGCAAAAAAAAAAAAAAAAAAACCCTAAATGAAAGATCTCTGTGAGTGAGATCCCAGTGGAAAGAACAGGTCTTCAAAGAAGGAGGTACCTTTCTCTGAAGGGAGGAGAGAACCTCCACTTTGACTATGACCTTGTCTGAACAAGCTAAGAGTCGGAGAACTCAAGGGGCTTCCATAGCCTTGGAAACTCATGACTGTTGCATAGGGAGATTACTGATGCCATAGACAGGAGTGTCAATTGGTAAAGTCAACAACAGGAGTCACTGTGCACTTACTCCTCATGTAGGATCTCTCTCCTTAATGTGCTGTACATTGAGACTTAATGCTACAACGAGTACTCAAACAGTATATTTCACTTTGTGTTTCTATGGGGGTGCAAACTGTTGAAAGCTTTACTTAATGTATACTAAACTGATCTTCTGTAAAAAAAAAAAAAAAGAAGAAGAAATTATCAATTCTGAACTTGACTCTCACTGGGATTAAACATGACAATAGGTCTTATCTGATTTCATCATCATTTAAAAGATCATCTATTATTTTTCACTTTATGTTTCTGTGTGTTAGCAAACTGTTGAAATCTTTACTTAATGTATGCTAAACTGATCTTCTGTATATAAAGAGAATCAAAAATGAATCTTGATGTGAATGGAAGGGGAGAGGGAATGGGAGAGGGGAGGGTTGCAGGTGGGAGGGACGTTATGGGGGGGAAGCCATTGTAATCCATAAGCTGTACTTTGGAAATATATATTCATTAAATAAAAGTTAAAAAAAAAGAAAAGCAAAAATAAATTTTAATTTTTTTTTTTCAAAATGAAGTTACATGTTTAATAATAATAATATCAGATCTGTGCATAAGTTTAAGAAATGAAAAGTTACAATGTAACAAGAAGAGCATAGTTTGTTTCCCATTATAACTCCCTGTATTTTCACACTATCATAACTGTAATTCACTTCTTCAGTCCCCTCTGCTCACTCTGCTGTGGCATGACATGACTCTGTCTTCATGTGACTGAGCTGGCTCATTCTTATTTCTAGCATAGCTCCTCCTGTCAGCTGTGTCATCCTACTGCATGATGGAAACTGGCATAAGAGGGATGGTGACCTAAACTAATATCTAAAGACAGATCAGAACCCATGGCCTCCTCAGCCCAAAACCACTGTAAGTACTGATGAGCATGAGAATATCTTATTGTTAAAATTGTCTCTGACCAAGTTAGCTGAATGGTGACTATCACTTGAAATGTGGCTGCCTGGTCACCAGGGTTCTAAGTTCTATCAGTGTTCTATCACTAAGGAAATGATAACACCTTTACTCCCCTTACCTGATCCATCTCCTCTAATAGGAAAACCCCCAAGAATCCTCCATTGATTTCCCAGGCACATTAGCAGGGAGTTGGATTAGAAGTGGAGCAGCTAGGACTTGAATTGGTGCCCTTAAGTGATGCCAGCCCTGCAGGCCGGGGCTTTAACCCACTCAACAGCACTGGCCCCTAATGGTTCTTTTTGACTTTTCTGTCTCCCATGTTTTCATTAAAATGGTATTTTACTCTTATACAAAAGAAGAATATTTAAAAAATAGCATTCTACCACTACCTGTATTATAGATAAGCATGTAGCTAAAATTTCTTTTAAAAGTATGTATAAAATTCAAAACCTAAACCATATCCCCATGAATCATTCATTCATCAATTAATTTAAACTTTTAAACTATATTCTTTTTTTTTTTTGACAGGCAGAGTGGACAGTGAAAGAGAGACAGAGAGAAAGGTCTTCCTTTGCCGTTGGTTCACCCTCCAATGGCCGCCATGGCTGGCGCGCTGCGGCCGGCGCACCTGCGCTGATCCGATGGCAGGAGCCAGGAGCCAGGTGCTTTTCCTGGTCTCCCATGGGGTGCAGGGCCCAAGCACCTGGGCCATCCTCCACTGCACTCCCTGGCCACAGCAGAGGGCTGGCCTGGAAGAGGGGCAACCGGGACAGAATCCGGCGCCCCGACCGGGACTAGAACCCGGTGTGCCAGCGCCGCAAGGCGGAGGATTAGCCTAGTGAGCCGCAGCGCCGGCTAAACTATATTCTTAATACCTGTATTCTTTCCCATGCTAATACTTCCTACCTAAGAATTGACTCATATAGACTCATTTAATTTACTCTAAAGTTGGATTTATTTTAATCGCAGCATTATAAGTATGTAGCAAGCTAATATGTAGGTAGCAAGTAGATAATCTCTTTGGAAATCTTCAAAGTGTACTAGATAAAATGAAAACCCATTAACCGTATGAACAAAACATTATTGTCCAAGTATCTGGACTTCAATAGCAGATATACCTATATTAGAATTCCAGTTCTGTTAATGACATCTTGAGTGCTTCCAGACAATATCATGTCACTTTCTAATCTTCATCATCTGTTTCAGAAATCAGGATAATAGAAACATATAGAGTGTTAGTGAAAATTCAATGATGTAAGTAACATTTACCAATCTCAGTGCCTGACACAAATTCATGGCTCATTCATTGAAGATTTTTAGGTGTAATCCATTTGAGATTACTTCTGAACTTAATACAGCAGAATGGGAGGTCCAAGATGGCTGAATAGAGATAAGATGTGCTGATTTTGACCACAGGAAGATAACAGAAAGAGGGTGAAGTAACTGCATTTCCAGGACAGAGTTTAAGAGAAGTTTGCAGTGGAAATCCTATGGAAAGTAGGAAGACTCTGTGGAGCATGGACAGTACAAATACATAACAGTGGGTGGGACACCATGGGGAGACTCTCGCAGCTGGATCTGGAGGAGACATCTTCTTGGAGCTAGGTGAGCTCTATCTGTGATATCCTGTGTCACTGGTGATTTTGCTGAGGGAGAACCATGTGGACAGCATTGACATTGAGTCAGGCCTGGTGAGATAGTGAGGGGCAGTTTTCCCACCTTACCCTGTGACAGGAGAGCACACTGATTTCCTCCCACTCCCCCACAAGGGTGACTGGTGACTAGCAGGAAGAAAGTGCCATCTTATTAAGGTGAATAAGGCTGCTGCAGCTCACATGTGCATGATTAGGTTTTATTTACTTATTTATTTATTTATTTTTATTTAAGGAATACAACTTCATGCATTTAATATATACAGATTTAGGAATGTGATGTTCTTCCTCCCACCTCCCTCCCATACTCCCACCTTTCTGCCTCCCCCCTCTTCCTTTCCCATTATTATTTTTTAAAGATTTATTTATTTATTGGAATGTCAGAGTTATACATAGAGGGAAGGAGAGGCAGAGAGAGAGAGAGGTCTTCCATCCACGGGTTCACTCCCCAGTTGGTTGCAACAGTTAGATCTGCACCATCCTTTCACTCTTAGCCCCTGGCAACCTGTAATATATTCTGTGCTTATGATTGAGTTTCATGGATTCCACAAATAAGTGGCATTTATATTTTTCTGTGTTAGGTCAAGAAGCCCAATGTCCACATTCATACTTTAGGATCCATGCTGTGACAAAATGTCAGAATTTCTTTTTTAAGGTTGAATGTCATCCCATTTTTTGTGTGTATCATTTTTTCTCTTTTCATGTGTTGACAGACAATGCAGTTATTTCCGTATCTTGTTCTTGTGAACAATGTTTACATGAACATGGATGTACAGATGTATCTTTGAGATAGTGATTTTATTTCTTTTGGATACAAATCCATTAGTGGGATTGCTTTGTCATTTGTTCCATTTTTAGAAGCACCTCAATAGTGTTTTCCATAGTGGATGTACCAGTTTACATACCTACAATTTATGTGTTCCATTTTCTCCACATCTGGTTCAATACTTGTTCTTTCTTCTTATTCTTTTTATTTTATTTATTTGACAGGTAGAGGTAGAGACAGCGAGAGAGAGAGACAGAGAGAAAGGTCTTCCTTCCATTGGTTCACTCCCCAAATGGTCACCATGCCCAGCACTGTGCTGATCCAAAGCTAGGAGCCATTTTGTGCTTCTTCTTAGAATCCCATGTGGGTGCAGGGGCCCAAGCACTTGAGCCATCCTCCACTGCCCTCCCAGGCCACAACAGAGAGCTGGACTGGAAGAAAAGCAACTGGGACTAGAAACCAACCCCCATGTGGGATGCTGGCACCACAGGTGGAGGATTAACCAAGTGAGCCACAGCACCAGCCCCTTTTTTCTTTTGATAATATCCATTTTTACATTTGTGAGGTGATAAGAATTGTAGTCTTGATGAACAGTGCTGAGCCCTTTTTTAAAAGATTTATTTATTTATTTGAAAGACAGAGTTACACACACAGAGAAGGAAAGGCAGAAAGAGAGGTCTTCCATCCACTGATTCACTCCCCAGTTGGCTGCAATGGTTACAGCTGTGCCGATTGAAGCCCGAAGCTAGGAGCTTCCTCCAGGTCTTTCCATGCAGGTGCAGGGGCCAAATGACTCAGGCCAACTTATCCTGCTTTACAAGGCCATAGTAGATAACTGGATTGGAAGTGGAGCAGCTGGGATTCAAAGCAGCACCCATATGGGATGCTGGCACAGCAGGTGGAGGCTTTACTCACTACACCACATTGCCAGCCCCAATGCCATTATTATTTTTGAAAGATTTATTTATTTATTTGAAACACAGAGTTACAGAGAGGCAAAGGCAGAGAGAGAGAGAGAGAGAGAGAGAGAGAGAGAGAGAGACTTTCCATCTGCTTGCTCACCCTCCAGATGGATGCAAAAGTTAGAGCTACATAAATCTGAAGCAACAAGCAAGGAGCAGGAGCTTCTTCCAGGTCTCCCACATGGGTGCAGGGGACCAAGGAATTGAGCCATCCTCTACTGCTCTCCAAGGCCATAGCAGAGAGCTTGATTGGAAGTGGAACTTCTGAGATTCAAACCAGCACCCTTATGGAATGGCACTCCAGGTGGTGGCTTACTTGCTACACCAAGCACCAGCCCTTCTATTCTTATTTTTTACAGAAATCAATTTTCAGTTAATTTTTATACTCATAAGACTGTCCCTATACTAAGTAGAAAGTTCACTGTTTAGTATGAAGAAAGAAGTAAAGAACAAAACAAAAAAAGCATTGTTCCCCAATAGTCAAGGCACATGCTGTTCAAAATTATCATTTCTCAAAGTGTCAGTTTCACTCCTATAGATAACATTTTAAGTATTCTGTTAGTTAACATAGATTAGAAAGACCATATGGTATTTGTCCTTTTGTGATTGGCTTATTTCACTAAGTATAATGGTTTCCAGTTGCATCCATTTTGTTTCAAATGACAAGATTTTATTATTTTTTTACCACTGTGTAGTATTCCATAATGTATATATACCATAATTCTTTATCCAGTCTTGAGTTGATGGACATCTGGGTTGATTCTATATCTTAGCTACTTAAAATTTAGCTGAAATGAACATGAGTGTACAGAGAACTCTTTCATATGATTTAATTTCCTTTAGATAAATTCCCAGGAGTAGGGTGAATAGGTCATATGGTAGGTCTATATTCATCTTTCTGAGCTATCTCCATACTGTCTTCCAAAGTGGCAGTACCAATTTTCATTCCCACCAACAATGGATTAAGGGACACTTTTCCCCACATTCTTGCCAGCATTTGTTGTTTGTTGATTTCTACATGCTAGTTATTCTAACAAGAGTGAGGTGAAACCATATTTGGTTTTGATTTGCATTTCCCTGATGGCTAGCAAGCCTGAACATTTTTTCATTTGTCTATTAGCCATTTGAATTTCCTCTCTTGAAATTCAAAAATTATTTAGTTCATTTGCCCATTTCTTAATCGGATTATTTATTTTGTTATTGTTGAGTTTCTTGAGCTCTCTATAGATTTGGGAAGTTAATCCTTTGTCAATTGCTTTGTTTGCAAATATTTTCTCCCATTCTGTTGGTTGTGTCTTTTTTTTATCGAGTGCTTCTTTTGCAGTGCAGAAGCTTCTCAGTTTGATGTAACCCACATGTTAATTTTGGCTTTGATTGCCTGTGTTTCTGGGGGCCTTTCTAAGAAACCTTTCCCTATGCCAATACCTTGCAGCATTTCCCCAAAGTTCTCTAGTAATTTGATGGTATCACCTTATATATTTAGGTCTCTGGTCCATTTTGAGTGGATTTTTGTGTAAGGCATAAGGTTTTGTTTCATACTTCTGCATGTGGAAATCCAGTTTTCCCAACACCATA